ACATGGTCCAATCAATCCATCATCCCAACTGGAGATGCCTCCAAGTCACGCCACTCCAGGTGCAGGTTGACTCCCAGAGAAAAGAATGTTGTTGTGGCTAACCATGGATAAATCCAAGAAAAGAAAAGTTTCAGAAAAAAACAGAACGTTTAATTCAACTACATATTATGCTAGTTCTGTGGCTGTTCAGGAAATAGTCGGGCACAGGAAGGATTTTGTGGCTCCCGGTGTTTTCTTTTCTGTAGGAAACGGGTCCAAATGGCTCTGAGTGTTTAAGGTTGCCTACCCCTGTCCTAGGCAGTCATCCTAGTAACAATCAACTAAATTTAATTTCATTGTTGTTATTTTTGTTTTTAGATTGGCCAGGTTTGGCTATATGCTGCAATAAATGTTTGGTGGGACAAGAAAAACAAACAGCCCCAAAGGGTGAGGATAGTATATGATTATAGAATTTTATATTTCTTTGTACATCTCTTTGTGCATCTCTCTCTCTTGTTCTCTTTCACTTGCCTGCCTACATTGAATAAAATATTTGACTGATTAGCTGGCACCCTCATTAGGTGAAACATTTTATTATCAGCTCAATATGTATATTAAGAACTACAGCGCTTCTGCTTTAAAACCAGAATGAAAAGTGCAACCCAATGGAACCAGGCCTTCTTCCTCTCCATAATTTTAACTTTCTTCACTTTGAGACAAAACAGGTTGATGCTTCTTTTACAATCTTTTTGTGATGAAATAATAAAATATCCACTGCAGTGACACAAAAGTGAACAGGAAGTTTTGGGGAAGTCAAGATGAAAGTGTTTGACACAAAACTGCCTTTAAAAAAATAATAAAAATAAAAATAGTAGTCTCATGCTCTTTTTAACATTAATTTTTCCAAGAAGTGATATAATATTTGGTAAAACAAGTTCAAATCCTTACATTCATAAGGAAGGTCCTGAAAAAGTTACTATTGACTTAATTTCTCTGCTTTAGATTATTGCAAAGTATGTGTTCAAGTCATTAATCACTATGAACAGTGGTTGCTGCCAAGTTTTGATAGTTCTTATAGTGGCCTTTGCTGTTTGGTGAAATGTAGTTGCCAACTCTCTTGCATTTTGGGCAGAAAGAAGATGCAGTTGCAAGAATGCTACATTTTTCCTGCAACTACTGTCTTCATCTGGGTAGTAAGAGGAGATGGTATAGGAGGCTGCTAGAATAAAAAAATGTATCAACTCAGAATGATAGTTGTTATAGAATATCAAGACTGATGGAACTGCTGGCACCAGTATGTCTTGGCTCGAGGCTCATGATTTAATTAGGGCTTCTTTGGGAATCCTGCCACTGAGGGCTTACTCCACTATGACGCTGGGCAGGGGTGGATTGCTGCCGGCGTTACTGCCAGTTCGCAACCAGCGCGCAACATGTGTGCGTGTGTGCAGTTCAATGTTTACAGTGAATTGCACATGCACAGTCACTGAAATCCAAAATGGCGGCACCCAAGCAGCAGCAAAGGAACCAGTTCAGGTGCATGGCAAGCCTGCCAGTTCTGCGGCCCAGGCCTGAATTCCACTACCGGTTCAGCCAAACGAGGCCAAACCCACCTCTGACGCTGGTTATAAAGCATTCAACATGAAGCTGATGGAGCAAATAGCCCACATGTGTATTCTGCAATCCATCAAGTTTATTATTTAGTACAAAGTAGAGCTCTTAAATTTATTTATTTATATTTATTTATAAAATTTTAATACTGCCCATTTCACTGACAAGGGACCCCTGGCAACTGTGAAATCCAGAGATTAATAATAACTTTTAATTCAATCTACTCACAGAATTTTAATGCACAGCTCTAATAGGGACATTCAGGTTTCTGAAAGACACACAGAGATTAATTACATGAAAAGACACAATAGAAAAGGGTGTGGGGAAAAATTGGTGTTTTCCAACTTGGACTACAACTTTTTCCTATCTGTCTCCTACTGTTTGGAACTGACTTGCCCTTGGATTATGTCTGGAATCTGATCTCTTGATGTATATTTTTATAAATGCAGAAATTTTCTGTACTTAAGAAAAAGAATAAAACCAGGCGAGATATTCCTTAATTAAAAATCTGCAGAAATGATTGAAGTTAAGTCTCTTTATTATCAATGGAGTTTTCCTTTTCCTTTTAAGGAATGACTGGTAGAGTAGGCTTTCAACACACCTGTGCAAAGACTGCTATACAGAGAACCTCAGTATTTATGTCTGTCTGTCTGTATGTACGTACATACATACGTATTTACAGTGGTGGGATTCAAATAATTTAACAAATGGTTCTCTGTACTAATGACCAGCTAGGTATGCGGGGCTCAGTGGTATGTGACTGGGTGGATGTGGCCAATTCAACGTCATTCACATCATTCAGATGCTACAATGTAATAAGGGTTAACTGGAGAGGCAGTTTCTGTAAGGAGGGCAATGAAGAAACAACACCAGAAAGTTTCCTTCCTGCCTTCCTTACAGGATTAGCCCTGTAAAGTGGAAAAAAAACAAAATGAGATTTCTTCCAACAACTGGTTCTCTGAACTGCTTAAAAAATTAACAATTGGTTCTCCCGAATAGGTGTGAAGTGACTGAATCTCACCATTATGTATGTACGCTTGTATGTATATATGTTGTCAGTCCATGGTGAAATGTAGCTTCAAAAAAAGTAACTACGCTTATTTAATTTTCCCTGAAATTATTTTCCACAGAAACTGTACTTATTATTTAATTCATAGGTGTGCAGGCAACATAAAAGTTGGCTTTCTTTGCCTAAATGTTTGCTGAATTGCTGAATACCCAATATAGTTCTGTAAAACTAAAACTTTGAGTATGTCCTACAAAAAACTGTCCAAAATTTGCTTCTAAACAATCACTGTTGTGTGACAGAAAGGAGTAAACGTGTTAAACATACAGAATACATTTCAACTGAAATTAAATGATGCACTAGATTCTGCTTTACTTTTTGTGTCCTTCTTTGCTTTGGTCCCATTTACTTTTTGTCCCTCCCCATAATAGGCAGCTAAAAGATCAGAGGTGAGTCTCATTCCAAACAAGTCAAAGACTTCCGCTGGAGAATATTGTATTGTAAACAAAGCTTCTCACAGAGCCGGACCAGGGCACATGATCTGTAGAGATTCTCAGTCATCCAGGTCACGGTTGTCCCAAAGGTGCTTTTTCAGGAGGCAACTGGACTTCCTTGTTTATTTGTTTTCTTTGAAGGCGTTTCACTTCTCATCCAAGAAGCTTCTTCAGCTCTGCCTGGATGGTGGGGAATGGAAGGATTTATATTCCTTGCAGATAGCTGGAAATCTGCATCCTTTTAGAAGCACTTGGAGGTTTATCTGTGTCCTCAGGGTCACCTGAGTAGTGCTCCTGGCTCCTGTGCACTCAGGTGACCTGGAGAACACAGATAAACCTCCAAGTACTTCAATAACCCTCTAAAAGGATGCCAATGTCCAGCTCTCTGCAAGGAATATAAATCCTTCCATTCCCCACCATCCAGGCAGAGCTGAAGAAGTTTCTTGGATGAGAAGCGAAATGTCTTCAAAAGAAAAAACAAGAAAGTTCCATTGTCTCCTGAAAAAGCATTTTTGGGACAACCAGGACACATGCCATTTTTGATCACCGGGATATTAATTTCATTATAATCAGAGGTGGGTTCCTACCAGTTCACACCTATTCGGTAGAACCGGTTCGTCAAATCTACCGAAAAGGTTAGAAGAGGTTCCACCAGTGGACCGGGAAAGCAGGCCACACCTACAGAAGAGCTTCCCAAATTTTTTGAAACCCATCACTGGTCCTTTGATATGATTATTCTACACTATCATGCTCATATTTATAAAACTCAGTGCCTCTGTGAAAGGTAAGGATGACTACTGCGTTTGTGGTGCAATCAGAACATTGCGTGTGTTGAAGTTGTTTTAACGCAAACCAAAGATGCCTTTTAAAAACAAGTTTACGTCATATTCTTATGCATGCCAGTGCTGTGTGTGAGGTAATTTAAGGTGGTTCTGACAAGTGTCATTGGCATTTTCATATCCAGTCACATGGGCAGCAAGCCACTCCCATCCAGTCACATTGGCAGCAAGCCACTCCCACAAAGGAGGCCACACCCACAGAGTAGGTTCGAACAATTTTTGAAACCCACCACTGATTATAATAAACAGTCAACATAAATCCCAAATTGTCATTCTGGAGCAGGATCTTTTTTTTCTGTTATGGGCAAAGAGCACATAGTGCAGTCTAATTCATATCACTGTTAATCACCAACTTTTCAGCAAATTTATCAAAACAGGCCTTGAGTAAGTATATGGCCTTCCCCTATTGATATTACAGTGTCTTCTATTGACACTACAATTCCCATAATTATCAACACTTTGCATGAGTCAAAAAATATCTTAGTATTATCAACTCCAATTTTTGGATTGGAAAAAAATGTTATAGGATTGAACTAGTAATAACTGTATACTGATCAAAGTTTGGACAAAAGTTCTAATTTTTTAAAGTTTATTTTAATTCAGATCATAATATAAAATATACAATAAATGAAAGCAAAGGGAAATGGGGAAGGAAGAAATGGGGAAAGAGAAGTATGGGACTAGAGGGAAAGGGAAAAAATAAAGCAATGACTTCCAACTTTTTTTCCAGCATAGTAAAATAAAAAAAAAGAATTACAATCTCAACTTTTTACTTTTACATATTTAGTAAAAACTAACCATTTCTAACCACAGCAAACTAATGTAATCAACAAAACCCTAAATCTAAATTAATTTTTTTTCTTATTTTGAACATAAAATCTAGAAGGGGTGTCCAAGTAGAAACAAAACTAGATGTATTCTTTTCCATGATTAAAGCAGTCAATTTTGGCATCTCTGCAATGCCATCACTTTTTCCACCCATTCTTCCATTGTGGGGATTGACATATCTTTCCATCTTAGTGTCAGGCCTGGAAGCCATCTTTTATGTTGGGCCCTGACACTTGACACATAAAATTTTCACTGCAGTCAACGTATAATGGCAAAATCTCATATTTTTTAGCTCCAATAGTGCTAAAATAAAGCATCCAGTTTCAATTTTATATTCATTTTAAGAATCTTCTGAATTGGAGCATAAATCTGCCCCCCATACTTCTTTGCTTTATCACAAATCTATCAAACATTATAAAAAGTTCCTTATTTACAATATTTCCAAAATACATGTGAGATACCTTTATACACAATTTGTTGAGTGTTAAGTACCAATGATACATCATTCTATAAAAGTTTTCTTTCAAATTATAATTCAATGTAAATCTCAATCCAAGCATCCACATTTCCCCATTCCTTGAGCATTATGTTATATTCACACTTTTTCGCCCATTGATTCATACAATATTTCACATATTTGTTTTCCAGATTCAGTTTCAACAACTTTTTGTAAACCTTGGCAATAACATGTTAAACATTAGCACACAGTAAAATTTCAATTTTACAGATTCAAACCCATAACTTCTGGTTTAAATTAGATTTCTTTTTTTGTTGTAAATAAGTGAACCAGTGGCAAACATTTTCTCCTGATTTCAATTCTTCTTTGATTTGAGATTATGTTCCCCTTGAGTAAAAGGTATTATTTCACCATAATTCCACCATTTTAGTCTCACCATGATTTTGTTTTCTGAAAAAGGCTTCCTGATATGACACTCAAAGAGGTATCTTAGGAAAAAGCTTGATTTTATATTTATTCTAAATTCTTAGGCTGGCACACCTAAAAAATGATTTAAAAAATCAGCATTTATTCTAATTAATTTATTTTATTTTAATCTTGTCATGCCATAGTAGGCATGCCCTCCAGTTCTACCAACTTCTTATTTTTAATGGTCACCCAGTCTTTCAGCCAGATTAAACAAGTAGTATCAGAATACAATTCTAAATCTGGTAAACACAAATCTTTTCTCTTTTTAGCAACTTGCAACAATTTAAATTTAATTCTTTTTTTTTCATTGCTATGTAAACTTAGAAAAATCTGTTTGCCGTTGTTTAAATGGAACATCAGTCATCAATATTGGTGACATCTGCAATAAAAAAAACATACTTGGTAAAACATTCATCTGAATTACAGAGATTCATCCCAACAAAGATAATTGCCATTTAATCCCACCTTGGTAGATCTTTTTTTTTAATATCATTCCAAACAGACACAAAATTGTTTTGAAATAGCTTAGGGTTTGCATTTGTCAGTGTCGATCCAAGATATTTGATCTTTTTGTCCACCTTAAAAACCTGACTTCTTTATCAAGATTTCATAATCCTGAATATTCATATTCTTAACCAGAATTTTTGTTTCCTGTTTCTTTATTTTGAAACCCATCAAAGCTAGGAAATACACTTCCATATTAATGGTAGCTATAGAGCTAGAAATTAATGGGTCCTTGGTGTTCTCTGAGCTTGCTGGTTTTCTTGCAGATGTTTCATTATCCAAACTAGATAACATCATGAGTGCTAGTCTAATGTAGGGGTGGGCTTCAAAAATTTCAGCAACGGGTTCTCTGCCTGGCTACTGGGTGGATGTGGTCGTGGTGGGCGTGGCATAGTCAGCCTTCTGCACCCACAGCCGTGGGGGAGGGGAGCATTTGTGTCATCTCCAGGCTCTGGAGGCTTTTGTTGAGCTTCCGGGAGGGTGAAAATGGCCTCCGCGGGCTCTGTAGGCCCTCCGTAGGCCAAAAACAGACCTGCTTCTGGTCTTTTGGAACTTCCAGGAGACCTATTTTTCCCCCTCCTCGAGCTTCCCCACAGACCTTGCACTTATCTTGCATCCAAACTGGGCCATGTGGAGACCCCTGGGAGAGGTGGGGTGGGGTGGGAGGGGAGGAATGGGGTGTGCGAAGCCAGCCAGGGGTGGGATTTGGAGGTTCTCCCAACCGGCCATAATGTTAGCTACGAGTTCTCTCGAACCCAAGCGAACCTGTAGCAGCCCACCCTGGTCTGATGTTACCTTTGGGTAATGAAATGTCTGCAAGAAATCAAGCAAGCTCAGAGAGCACCCAGGACTCCGTATCTAATGATTGCTACAAATATTCTCCTCTATTAGCTAGAAAATGGCTAAATAAGTACTGACAGTAGAAAAAGAAAACAACCAGGGGTATAAATGGCCGCTTCCATATCTACAACAAATATCAATAAAAACAATTTTTTCACAATTATAACCAAAATTTTATCTCCTTAAAAGTGAAAAAAAAATGTAAAAGCACAGTGACATCTGGCTCACTTTGAAACATCGTAGCTTTGAAAAGACAAAAGGGCACAGTGGGGAAAAAAAAGAATGCAAGGGATGCCTTAATCCAAAGTGAATGTCTGGGTAGAACCTGCTAAAAAAGGTGAAGGAGTCCCTGTGGATTTTACTCCGCTAGTCATTGGCTACTGTAGGGTACAGAACTTGGTGGAGGAGCCCTTTCTACGTGGGAGAATATCCTGCAATTTTCTGTACTAGTATCTCATATGAAAGAGCCAGAGTGGTCTAGTGCAGTGTTTCTCAACCCTGGAAACATTTAAATGTGTGAGCTTCGCCTTCCATGCTGGCCAAAAATTCTTGAGTTGAAGTCCATTCACCTTAAAGTTTTCAAGGTTGAGAAACATTCAGTTTAGGAGTTGGACTAGGGCCAGGGGTGGGCTGCTGGGGGTTCGCAGGGATCTGGGAGAACCTCTAGCTAAGATTCTGTGCAGTTCGGAGAACTCCCAAATCCCACTCCTGGCTGGCCTTGCCCACCCCTCCCTTCCCAGGAGTCCCCACATGGCCCATTTTGGGTGCAGGTAAGTGCAGAATGTGTGTGGAGGCTCAGTGAGGGCAAAAAAAGGGCCTACCAGAAGTTCGGGAAGGCCAGAAACAGGCTGTTTTCACCCTCCCAGAGGCTTGAGGAAAGCCTCTGGAGCCCGGGGAGGGCAAAAATGCACCCCCCCCATGGTGAAGGAGGCCAACTAGGCCATGCCCACCATGGTCACCCAGCAATCGGGTAGAGAACCTCTTGCTAAAAATTTTGAAGCCTATCCCTGACTAGGATTGAGGAGAGTCCAGTTCAAGTTGACCTTTGCCTACAGATGTTGTTTGGGTGACTTTGGGATAGTCATTCTCTTTCTGCCCAATCTAACTTACAGGGTTGCTATTGGAGGATTTTCTTGAACTTCCGTCCCTCTTGCTATTGCTTGTTGTCCCTCCCTCTCTCCCTCCCTCCCTCCCTTCCTCTTTCCCTCCCTCCTTGCTTTCTGACTAAACCAGCAAATCTTTCATTAGTTTCATTTCTCCATAGGACGTGCATAAGCTATTTCCAGAAGCATTAAATCCAAAGCATCCCATATTCATTATACATATCCAGAAGCTAACAAACCTGTTAGTAGCCTTCTGCAATTAACAATAGCCTGGTTCTATGTTTGCTCCAGGACATGACCTGCCCCTATATCCAGGGGCAGGATTATCACATTTTCTTGTTCGCCGGCGTTGTCCTTGCTGACAGGCAGACCAGCTAGACCAGCAGCTCCAGCTTCCATGAACGGCTGTATCAGCTGCATCAGGATCAGAAAGCATTTGTCTAACTTCACAACATTCAGAACTTCAGAAATAATTCCATCTACCTTCAGAATCTCACAGTCACACAGTATACCTTAATTGTATATTGATTGGCTGTTTGGGCTAACTTATTGCATTAAACCAATATTTCTCCCACCCCCATGAAACAAAGATTAAACCGTACATACTTTAGTAAAGTGTGTGGACATGGTCAAAACAATAAGAGGACATTCTAAATCTATGGGAGAAAATTCTTATTTACCCTGTATAGCATAAAGGTAAAGGTTCCCCTCGCACATATGTGCTAGTTGTTCCTGACTCTAGGGGGCGATGCTCATCTCGGTTTCAAAGCCAAATAGCCAGCACTGTCCGAAGACGTCTCCATGGTCATGTGGCCAGTATGACTAAATGCCGAAGGAGCACGGAATGCTGTTACCTTCTCACCAAAGGTGGTCCCTATTTTTCTACTTGAATTTTTTACATGCTTTCGAACTGCTAGGTTGCCAGAAGCTGGGACAAATAACGGGAGCTCACTCCATTACGCGGTACTAGGGATTGGAACCGCTGAACTGCTGACCTTTCGATCAACAAGCTCAGCGTCTTAACCACTGAGCCGTTGCATAGACATTAGCTTTGTTCTAACATTCGAACTATTCTCTGAACATGTACTCATAGTTGCAATTTTACCCAATTAAGAATAAGTGGTAGCATTTTCTGATTTGCCATTGATGGCTTTGATTGGAATGCCACTTATTGGGTTATGGATTTTATTTAATGAAATAGTCTTTATTATTTTATTTGCTTACAATTTATGTTTTTTAAAAAAATATTTTTAAACAATCCAGTAGAGCTGAGAGAGCCATTAAAATATATGGTAAGTCATTGAATGAATTCTAACCTGGTATGTCATTTGAAGCCGGTGTTTCACAGGCGTCTCCCTTGTAATATGGAGTGCAGGCGCATTCACACTTTCCATCTATCAGCATCACTGTCCCACCATGCAGACAAGGTTTGCATTTGCATACATTGTATTCAGCCACATAATCCTCTACAGCTCTGTCCAGATTTACTTTCTTACTTCGGGAGTCTGGGATAGTCGTCGGGATAAGATCCGAAATCGGGGCCATCTGCAAAAATATTTAACCACATGTAGTATGTGTGCTTTTGTTTCAGTTTAAACCATTGCTTACCATTATTATGCAGTTCTGTGCAGAATATAGCACTTCATCCTGAGAACATCCATGTTCTTCTGGAGTTACACTCACCTTTACTAAAAAAATACTCTGATTCTTAAAGATGCCGACTTTGTAACATTTGTTTATTACAGACTTCTTTCTACTACGATTGCATATAAACAGAGGTGGTATTTACTTACCTCCCCTACCGGTGTGCAAATGTGAGTGTGTGTGCACTAGCTTGGCTCGCATTTGCTGCCTCCGTGCATGTGCTCAGCTGTTCTGCACATGTGCTTTTGGTGAAAAAAGGGCCTAAATGGGATGCCATTGAGCTGGGATAGGTGGGCGGGGCCACCCCCAATTTCCGCTACCGGTTCAGGCGAACCAATCCGAACCGATAGAATACCACCTCCGCATATAAATATAAAGGTTGCTGGGAAAATTAAAGAAGAGGTCCACGGGTTTCAAAACTCTTGCATGAGCAATGAAATGAGGAATGAATGAATGAATGAATGAATGAATGAATGAATGAAGGAAGGAAGGAAGGAAGGAAGGAAGGAAGGAAGGAAGGAATTTGAAGTTACGTCATTCTAATGTGAGCGAAAGGAATTTAAACTTAGCAAATGTACAAACTGGAACACGATATCTGATGCTCAATACTTGGTAGGCCTTTGCTGTTGAGTGTTGACATTCTAAAACTTTGATGGATGAGGCCAACAACCTCCTCTCAAGGTTTATTTCAAGGGTAAATAGCTAATATAAGAACAGCATGGAAGAAGAATGAGCTAAATACTGCCTCTTTCCGTGGTGTGCTGACAGTAAACACAAGGCAAAGGGAGGCTCATTAGGAACTCCAGGCTTTTTGATTAGAATGTAAAGTGTTGGAAGAAAGCTGTAGCAAACCAAACCTCATGGAAACGTTCACTTCACCACCAGAAGGGCAATTTTAGATTTACAGCTGGTCCTCAACTTATGACCACAACCGAGCCCAAAATTTCTATTGCTAAGTGAGACATTTGTTCAGTGAGTTTTGCCCCATTTTACAGCCTTTCTTTCCCCAGTTATTAAGTGGATTCACTGCAGTTGTTAGTTAGAACATAGTTGGTAAGCGTATCTGGCTTCCCCATTGACTTGGTTGGTGAGAAGGTCTCAGAAAGTCACATAGCCCTGGGACACTGTAACCATTATAAATATGTGCCAGATACCTAATCTCTGAATTTTGATCATGTGGCCAAGCGGATGCTGGCATGGTCCTAAATTTGAAAAACAATCATAACAGTCGCTTTTTTCAGTGCTGTTGAACCGTCACTAAACGAACTGTGGTAACTCAAGGACTACCTGTATTTGACTAGAATCTTTGATTCTGAAAAGATTTTAACTTTTAAATTCTCCAGTTAGGTGGCTTTTACTGTTCTTCTATGCAATCAAATCAATAATTTGTCGAAAATGACCAAAAAATCGAACCACAGCCTCAAAATCCATTCACAAATTGCCCAAATTTTTCCTTTTGTTGTTTTGAATTTCTCCAGATCCAATTTTATTAGTCAAATTCTCCTTGGGTTTGGTATTTGCACACCGTTTCCTCCTCCTTTCTTCCCCCTCCTTGTTCCAAGTGCCTTTTAGCTGCTAGTTTAGCTCTGGAAAAAATTTCAAGCACCAAAACTAAGATCTTTTGTTCTTACATCGGCCAGTCCCAACATTCCGTTCATTACTCTGCTCCTGCACCAGTCTTATTCTGGTTCTCCTTGCTCCAGAGCGGTCTTTTGAAGGCAGCCGCCACCCCTGCCGTCCATCTGGAGACTGTAATTTCCAACCTGCTGGAGACCTTGCCTCAATCCCCGCAGTCACCCGAAATGCCTCTCCTTGTTCCCTGTCCCTTCAGGACATTTTCGATCCACAAGGGACCTCTTGATGGTGGTTTGCTGGCTGGGTATTTGAGTAGCTCCACAGAGCTCGCTATTTCCCCAGGCATTCTCGCCACAACACTTCTAGCTTTAAACTTTTAAATTGTGTGGCCTGGTAGCAAACTTGGATGATGAGGAGGTTGGGGAGGAACTTGGGCCAGTCCTGTAGTCTGGGGACGGCTCTAATGGATGCTCTGAATCAGAAGCAGAGATACAGCCAGGGCTGTCTGACATTTCCCAGCTGCCTTTGGAGTCGGAGATAAGTAGGGAAGAAGAACAGCTGGGGCCTGTTCCAGATCCACCTATGGGCAGAGTTGTCAGGAGAGGAAAACAATTGAGGCCCAAGGGCCGACTCAGGAAGAAAGGCACATCGAGATGCTGAGTGGCCCTTCCCTGGCTGGGGAATAAATAGAAGCAAAAGGGGAGTGGTGTCCTAGGAGACAACTGTTTGGATTTCTTTCGGAAGATCTGCTAATCATGGTTCGTGTCTCAGAGTTTAATTTGAAAAAGTTTAATTTACAGCTTTGTGGCTGGAAGCTCCCGGCCTGGCAATTATCCAAGGAACTGATAAAGTCTGTACTTCAGTTAACCTTTATTGCCTGGATTTTTCTGTGTGTGAATGCCATGAATTCACAGCAGCTAAATAAAGATGGGTTTTTCAAGACAAGGAGTTTGTTTCTTGGTTCTGCTAAGGCTGGGTCAGAACATAAATATTTATTCAAGAAAGAAGAAACATATTCATTTGTAGGTTCATATTTATTTAAAAAAACCCTCCAACTTATTGCTGGAAAAAAAAATCCTCTCACCTCTTGTTTGATCACTGCCGGAGCTTGAATTAGTGTATTAGCCCATTCAATGTAACGTTCGACACCGATTGAATTGAAATTTGAAGAAAGCAATTCATTCAAATTTGTTAAAGTAGCTATTGTTCCACCTTGAATCAGCGAGACTACCTCGTGGATAAGCCCATCATCATTATTCGTAGAATCTGGAAGAGAAAAGAATAGGAGGTGAAAAAAAGAGGAAGAGTGGCTTAACAGAACAACTTCCCTGGGTAATGGAGAAGATGATCATAATGAAGATGATATAAGTGAAAATCATTATTATTTCACTACAATTTCAAAGAAAGGAAAATGATGAGGTTTACTATGGTTGAAAATGGAATAACTGTGAGTTTCTACCAACTATATTTGGCCAGATAGAGGAAGTTCAATCCCATATATTCATTGGTCACAAATGATTTGCTGGGGTTATCTTTCAGGTAGTTTGGTATTCCCTATTCCAACTTGTACACTAGTGACTCAGTTAATAATTCAGGGATTCCTGCTTGAATCCCATGGTGCCTGAATGACCAGTCAATTTATTAGAATAGGCATCTTACTTGATCACTCTTCAATTATTTCATGATCTAGAGCCATGATGGAGAACAACAATGCAAACAACAAAACAGAAGCTCACGAAAGAAAAATATCTTACCTCTTGCATACAATGTATGCAAATCAGAGGTGGGTTGCTCCCGGTTTGGCCCAGTTCGGGTGAACCAGTAGTGGTGGTGGTGGGAGACTCCATCCACCTGGCTGGATGCTTCTGTGCATGTGCAGAAGCTTCTGCACATGCACAAAATCACCGCACGTAAGCGCATGCGCAAGCACAAGCAAACCAGTAGCTCCGGGATTTGGAACCCATCTCTGATGCAAATATAGTGTATTTGCATACACTATATCAGTGTTGGTGAACCTTTTAGACAGTGAGTGCTCAAACTGCATGTGCACATGTCTGTGAATGCACACATTTGTGCACGTGTTTGCACCTTTCAGTATGGACATGCACGCGTGTGCACTTGGTGTCTAAAAGGTTCGCCATCAATGACCTAGAGATACACAGATATAAATTTGCCTTTGTTGAATAACACGTGCCTACAAAAAGAGGGTATGTTTCGGGGGTGGGCGTGCACATTTGCACCTAAAAAGTTCTGTGTGCATGAGCACAACGTTAGAAAAGGGGAAAAATTTAATCTTTGCACGGAAGATTGTTCTGCGCATGCGCAGAACTGAAAATCAAGATGGTGCTGCTGATGATAGAACTGGTTCTTGGGCGTAGCAGGCCGATTTAATACCTACTCATCCGAACCAGTAGGAACCCACCTGTGGTATGTTTGTGTGTGAGAGAGAAAATCCAAGATGGCACCTTCAACTGTGTGAGTGGAGCCCCACCCTTTTTATGTAAATGGCAGATATCGGAATGTATCTCCAAATACTATTCTATTTCAGTTACTCAGACACCTAAAAACAAATGCACATTCGCCATTCTTGTTTACATTTTGAGCTGAAAACTTCTCTTGCCCAATAGCATCTACCCAATTCAAAATCTAGTTTGGCTAGGCTAACTTATACCATAATTCTCTAAGTAGGACACCCATATAGAAGGTTGTTCTACAGAAATATTTTTGCTGGGGATATCACCATGAAACTTACAATAAAGAGAATACATATTTAATTATTCATATGTTAACTGCAACTAGAATTGTATTTGCACAGTCGTGGAAATGTGAAGACATTTCTACGGAAAAGAAGGTGATTAGGAAAATATTAGAATGTGTAGAAATGAATAGACTAACATGGCAATTAAGGAGAAAGAACAATCTGATTATGATATGCTATGGGAAGTGTTTTATCAATGGTTAGAGAATACAAAAGGAAATTGGAAATAGAAGAAGATAAAAAGAAGAATTAAAAATGTACTAAGATAGAGATAAGAATAAAATGATGATTGTTAGCATGAATATGATAGAAATAAATATAAACAATGTTATTATTGTATATAAATCAGAAGATATACTAGAAGATACGTTAAGAAGGAAATGAAGAGATTTACAAGGTTTCATTGTATAATGTAATATAATTTATGGAAGAATGTTGCACAGATATCGGTGTCCAGACAACACATTGTTTAAGGAAAGATGGAATGTATGTATTTTAAAATTGAAAAATTACAAAAAAATTACAAAAAGAAGAAGGTGGTTGTTCTACATGAGGGGTTTCACAGACTACACTTTTCTGTAATTATACCACCAAAGAGACTTGACCTATCTGCTGCTATGAGGCCAGTCCCACTTCAGCACTTTCCACATGTCTGAGAGGTTGCCTCATTACTTCAAGAAAAATATAACTGATTGTCCCTTTAATGCATTCTCCAGTCTCCATTCTTCGTCTTCCATACACTGCATTTGTTGAAATCTTCCTGAGCAAAACTGTCTGCCTTCTTTGCTTGCTTTTTGCAAATCTAATATACTTTAACATTCACAAAAGTCCATTCATACAAATATGCGACATAAACATTACTACTATATCATAGTATTATATAGTGATTGCCATCAGAGGTGAAATCCCCTTACCTTTGCTACTGGTTCAGTAGCAATGTGAGAGCGCGCCCATGCATTCACGCATGTGCAGGACTTCCTGCGCATGCGCAGAGTGTCAAAAACAGATGTGATGACGCCCAGCGGGTGGGCGGAGACTGCTACTGAGCACCTGCAAAGGTAAGCGAAGAGCAAGGGGGGGAGGGGGAATCCGCTGTGCCATGCGATTTAGATTAGCTAGAAAGCTAATCACGGGTCACAGCTGATTGTTGGAAAAACTGGGGTTTTTTTTACTACTGATTTGGGTGAACCGGTCTGAACCAGTAGTATTTCACCCCTGATTGGTATGCTCGTGAAATATACTGGCATTGATATATTTATTAGTATTGTTCATTACCTTATGTGATTATAGAGTACATGATTGACCTATTCCAGCAATACAATTTAGTTCCAGTATGAGGGATACAATGTACCAATTAAAATGCATACTTAGGGATCAAAATGTCAGAAAAAGGCAGGAGCTGAGGTACTTACTCTTTTCCGACTTTTCGCCTTTACATTTTTTGCTGTTAACATTGAATTTGAGGTCTGTTGAAGGTATATCTACTCCAAGATTTAAATCAAAGCCTAGGCATTCGTTTACATCCTTTGTAGTGATCCCTGAAAATACAGGCAGTAAAAATGATTAAAGATGGGACGTAAATAGCAGATGTCCAATGCTTTGCAATGTTTTTATATGTTTTCATATAATAATCATAATCATAATCATAATCATAATCATAATCATAGTAGTAGTAGTAGTAGTAGTAGTAGTAGTAGTAGTAGTAGTAGTAGTAGTAGTAGTAGTAGTAG